GAATGTTAGTAGAAAATAAGTTTGCATTCTCTATGGTATACAATAAAATGAACCATTTGTATATCGTAGGGATTTATTGGCCACCATTTTCATAGATCGACTAGAAACTCTCCTTTCTGAAATACTCATTCACGCAAATATCTTTGTAGCTGGTGAGCTGACTATTGACTTTGAAAATAAGGACTCTGCATTATTTTGTTGTGTTGTTAATGAAAATGTAAAAACCGAAAAAATCATATATGCTTACATTCTTCCAGTACTACTCTAGATTTTTTTTAATATTTTTTTATCTTATCAGTAACATTAGCTTTGAGTAATCTATTTTTATCATTCATCATCATCAAAAATGCATGTAACATAGCCTACCAGAATTTCGCAACATTCATCCATTACTATTGATTATGCCTGCTCAAATTTAGATGAAGCGAATGTTCTCTGTTCGGTTATTTCCTCCGGTCTTTCAGACCATGAGGCTTTATATGTGAAAATACTTATGAAAATCGAACACTCTTGTGATCATAGATTTGGTAGAATTTGTAGCAGAAAGAACTACAAAAAATTCAGAGAATGTTGTGAAATAATCAACTGAAATAGAATGCTAGATGATGAAGAACCATTACTTGTCTTTCATAATACTATGATAGACATTTTTGAAAGATCTTTTCCTGTGCATAAACTGAAAACGAAAAAAATAAGAAACAATGGATTACAACTGGTATAAAAAATTCAGGAAAAAACTTAAGGTCATTACATACAATTAGGAAGTATACCGATGATATATATATTTCTTAACATATTTTAATAAATATAAGAATATTTATAGGCTAATTATTGAAAGGGCTAAAAATACATATTATGCAGAGAGAATCAGAACAGCCAACAATATAACAAAAGAAAACTGGGCTGTAGTGAATTATATTAGGGGTAAAAATAAGGACAATCCCATTAACCTAGCTCCAAAAGAACTCAATGATTTCTATTGCTCTATTGGTGAAAAACTAAAAGAGAACATAAAAGCCAGCTGTGACCCCTTGGAATATCTTAAACATGTAAATGTTGTTGAAAATTTCATTCTTTCAGATACGGATGTACATGAGCTTATACAGATAATCAATGATATAAAAATTCGGCAGGTATGGATGGAATGTCTGTGAAAATATTTGAAAATCTACCTCTAAGTGCATTACATGTTTTGTTTGAATGCATTAATGAATCATTCAGGTGTGGTATATTTCCCACATGTTTGAAAACAGCTACGGTTATTGCATTACATAAGGGCGGAGATTTGAAAGACCCCTCCAATTTCAGCCCCATTTCTTTATTATCGACACTTTCAAAAATAAATGAAAGATTAGTGAAAAAAAGACTAATGTTCTTCTAGCCTTCAGTTCGGTTTTCAAAGTTCGAAAAATATCACAGATGCCATTTTTTCCTTTCTAGAAAATGCGTACTCTAGCGTAAATGATAGCAAGGCTGTTGCAGCAGTGTATTGTGATTTTTCGAAAGCCTTCGATTGCGTTGCAATCCGTTGCAAGCCGAGAGATCACTGAAGGCCTTTATTCATCAGCCACAAAATATCAACTGTCACCTGTTCATACATAATGGAAATAGTAAGCTCAATTCATAAAAATAAAACTAGCATGTACACTCCCGGAACAAATTGTCACAACACTAGACAGAACCATATGCTTTACTTACCTATTCCAAAATTCACCTTGACTCAGCATTCTCTGATTTATGAAAGTATTAAAGTATATAATCACCTTCCTACCATTCTAAAAAATAGCACAGATATCAAAAAGTTTCGAAGTACAGTTGAAGATCTTTTAATCAAAAAAGCTTATTATTCGATCCATGAATTCTACCATGACAATCTATAATGATCACCTAAACTCATCTGTCTTCTTAATGTTTTATTTGTGAAATTGCTATGTCTGTATTTTTCATATTTTATGTCATGTATGTTTCATTTATGAAATTGCTATAATTGTATTTTTTATATTTTAAGACATTCATTTCATTGTTTTACAAGACTTTGTCAATAAGAAATATAGCATCGTTCGTGGAGCGCATACGAAACGTTCAATTTTTCATGACTCTGGCGCATAAATCTGGCTGAATTTGACGGATGGCATCTTGGTGGTCGGTTCATATCACCTCCACGTGAGATGACTATGCCTTAAAGACGGTTGTGTAGAATATCCAATGTGGCATGTAGCGCCGTCCTGTCAAAACCACATGTCGTTGGTGTCCAGATCATCCAATTCAAAACGAAAGAAGTTGGTAATTATCGACATATAGCGTAGGCCGTTGGCACTGATGGCCTCGCCAACGACGTTCTCATAGAAATATGGACAGATTACGCCGCCAGCCCTAAATCCACACCAAAAAGTGACTTTTTTGGGATGCGTTAGGCGCTCTTGGATCTCATGTGGATTGGTATCGTCCCAAATTTAACAGTTTTGTTTGTTAACGTTCCCATGTCGAAAAGTAATTTCCGGCATTGTGGATTCTAGTGTGGGAATAGTCGATGGTTACTTCGAGAGTTACAACTTCTTTTCTCAGAGTTAATATGGGTTTCGCAAAAATCGTTCTACTTCTTTAGCTGTCTTTGATGTCATTGGATCTATTGTTGAAGGATTCGAGAAGGGTGTTCACATTGCCATAACGTTTTTTAATTTGTCTTGAGCTTCTGATTGTGTGTCATACAGTATACTTTTTGAAAAATTGTATTATTATGGAGTTAGAGGGGTATATCTCTGTCATTCATAGAATCATACTTTTCAAATAGGTATCAGGTAGTTTCGTGTAATGATGTTACATCAAATTCCGAACCTGTTGAGCACGGTGTTCCACAAGGTTCAATCCTTGGGCTCCTGCTCTTTGTTATTTATGTTAATGACATGAGTAATTTCATGTCTCCCTATAAGTCCATTCTCTATGCAGATGTCACAACTTTAATATATAGCGATCAATCATCATCTAACATTCCACAAGTGATGGAAGAAGTCGAAAATCAAGCCAATACCTGGTTTCTAGCAAATAAATTGGAGTTGAATAGTGACAAAACTCAAAATCTTGAGTTCACACTGTAGGTTCAGCTGAAAGAAGTGTAAAATTACTTGGCATTACTCTAGACAGTACTTTATCTTGACATCAACATACAGATCTCGCAAATAAACTTTTTAGTGCAATATATATCCTTCGTCAACTGCAAAATACCACAAGCGGTGAGATTATAAAAATGACGTATTCTGCATTATTCCACTCACACATCAGCTACGGTGTTGTTCTTTGAGGGAACTCTCCTGGTTCGATGAGAATTTTCAAACTAAAGAAAAAACTGTAAGAACACTGGCAATTACAGGTTTCCGGTAGCACTGTAGACCATTATTCAAAAAATTGCGGATCATGCCGTTGCCAACATTATATATTTATCAGACTCTACTGGAAATCAGAAAAAATGCTCATTTGCTAGAGGAACAGTCTGACATACACCAACACTTTACGAGAAATGCGGAGAAGGTATTGTTTGACCAGATCAAAAATGAATTCTGTTGATTACCATCTTTTCAACTCTCTGCCAAATAACTTTAGGGAACTTATCACCAAACCAATACTACTCAACCAATGTTTTTACTCAGTCTCGGAATACTACGATCATTTTAGAACAGTTCACATCAGCTAATGTCTACTCGAGATGAAACATACTCACCGGTATCGACTGTACTGTGGTAGTTCGTAAATACCCCTACTATCATAGGTGAATATTTATTTGTTTATATTTGTACTTAGGCAACCCCTACGTTGCTTCATATTTTTACATTTTTACAATTAATTTACTTCTTTGTTTTATATGTTTATTTAAGAATGCATGTACACCTGACTTCCTACAAACATGAAAATGTAACGTAGTTGGTAAACTATTCTATTCTATTTTATTCATTCATCTAGAAATGGGCACCATCGCTGAAATTGATTTTTTGATGAAAATTAGGACCAGTTACCAACTGTTCCAGAACTCATTCAGCGAACACACGTCGTTTTATATGGCCGTTTACCTTCAGTTCTAGGGTCAGTTGAATTTTGTATGTTTGCAGGCCCAAGTCACGACGCAAAGATAGCCAAGTTGTGGTCTGCGGAAAGACGAGTTCTTGTGAGCAACGCGAAACCGACTGCCTCATATTCTCGTGCATACTCTCACAGACAGCGGCGATGTTTTGATAATAATAATAATAAAATATTCTTCAGATCACAAAGTGAGGTAAATAAATGGATTATGCTAAGTTTTAAAAACAATCCTTCCGCATAAACCAGAACGAAAATAAATAACAATTTTCTAGCCATAGAAACACCAGGATATAAATAGAATAACGATGAGATTGGGACCTTTGGTGTGAAAGTTGAATAACTTTTTTCGAGATCAATTGCCCTAACACCAAACTGATATTTTTGCACTCGACGCGCGTTTCGCCAACAAAGTTAGCATCCTCAGGAGAAGTGCAAAAATATCAGTTTGGTGTTAGGGTAATTGATCTCGAAAAAAGTTATAACTAGAACTCAAATAAAATTAGGATAATATTCTAAAAAAAATCTTGTTTCATTGCTTCGGCAGATCTTGCGTTTCCCCGACGCACGGGTGTTGGTCGATCGATTACTGAATGAGCGGACTCAAATTCATCCACTACATTGCGAATAGTCCTTTCGGTAGGACGATTATGGCGACTGTAAAATGGGCGAAGCGCGCGGTACGTTGCCCGAACGGAACATCAATTTTGATAAAACAATTTTTTTATTCACACATGTTGTTGAATGCTATATCCGTCCGTGATGATTTGGCAAAACATACTGAATAAATGACATAATTTTGACAGACGTAGCTCCAAAAAGATGGCCGTTATCAATTGTCTCAAGTTTGGAAGCTCCTGTTGGAAAACCTTATAGGTACATAATTTCAATGGGAGCAATTGTGCCATATAGGTAAATATATAAGTACTCACTTGGAAAAATAAGCAAAAACACACCCACTGGTAATACCGATACACCTTTCTCTCCTTGTCGTTGTAGGAGGTTTTAACACCCGGACTACCTGGCAAGTGCATCCTGGCGTACGGTTCTTGTTTGTTCGTGAAAACGGTGAACGTCGAATGTATCCAACAGAAAGTGTTGAACACGTCCTCGGGGATGTCTTTCGTGTGAATACAGTCGATGGGGTTTCCAACGTATTGCCTCGTGGTCACTATCAGGCTGCAGCCGATTAGAATGGACACCGTAATGGAGTAGTGGAGACGAAAAACTGGCGAATCGATGTGGATGTGGCTGACTCTGACGAGTGACTTGAGACCGCGGAAGATATCCAACATTTTATGTTGATCAGTTGCCAGTTGAAGCGGGCAACTTTGTCATAGTTCTCCTGGGAGTTTCAGGTCATAATTCGGGGTGTGTTATTTCTTTATTCTCGCTGAAGATTCGTCCGGAAAGAAGCGGAGGTTCTTCCATCGTTTCGTTAAGGCATGGCTGGCTTCCTGTAGACAGAAATTGTACTGAATCTGAGGGTTGTCTTTGCTTAGAAGTTTACAAGCTGATGGTGCAAGCAATACAAGCAAGGTAAGCAAACATTTGCTCTGGAATGAACATGCAAATATTGAACTCGACTATTAGTACAATTTTTCAAAAAGAAACGATTGTTGACATAAGTCTGCAAGCTCATGCAGATGACATTCACATCATGGGACGTTGACATAACGGCAAGGATTACGCTGGGAAAGATAGCCTGTCTGAATTGTTGGATGATTTTTACGGTTAGTGCCAGAGGAAGTGGATGTCTCCAATCCTTAGTAGAACCCTTCTTCAGTAGTAGGGTTATTCGATTCGCAATGGAAATAAATAACTGCGTATTGTCCTCGATTGAAAATATCATTTGAAAGAAGTTCTACACGAAGTCAGACTGTGGACATGTCAAAAGATCTACGTAACAACGTTCTATGAGTTTCTTCAGAAAAATGCATTGTTAAATCTTTCAGTCCTGGCGTTTGACAGATAAGAACCACTTTTCTACTACTCCGATTGAATTGAGTACCCCCTAAGTAGAACCAATTTTCGGTACAAGTGGCACCTACGGCCTGCCACTTCGGCTAGCGCCGAAGAAATATCTGGCGATGACCAGGAAAAATCTACGCTGACTGACCACTGTCAATTTAGGAAACACCTCCATAATATAGGGCTAGTGGACACACCTCTATGCGGGATGTGTGGACAAGAAGATGAGACTGTCAGGCATGTCCTATGCGAGTTCCCGGAGTTATCGTCAATAAGAGAGTGTGTTTTCGGCGAGTCTTGGCCTTCACCTGCCGATATAAAGGAGATAGATGTCTCCCAGTGACCTGTCCACCTTCCTGGAAAGGACAGGATGGATGATGGTCTAGGAGGACAACTCCTTGGAAGGATGTACAATGGGTCAGATGTGGCCTAAGAGCTGTGGGTAGGGGAAGAGCAGAACCCAAATCCAAATTTTTATGAACATCGATGCTGTTTGGCAAAATTATCCGGGAAGAAAGTCGCGGACTGGACTGAATATAGCTGAGTAACTTCCAAACTTTTTGCAGAGTTATTTTCATGAAGAATTGTAATTCGTGACAGTTAGGTTCAATTCTGGCTTGGATATCTCATGTATATCGTAGATACTTTTGTTCAGATTACATCCTTCTCAAAATTCAATCCAGAATAAAAGTAAGTAATCAATAGCGTTTTTTCAAAAATACTTCTCACGATCTGTTTGATAATTATGTATGGAAAAAAGAGTGGAAATTTGAAGCAAAGTATTTCAGAATTGCCAAATACAACTGCTTGAGAATAATAAATTTTGAAAGAGTACTATTGAATTGAGTGTAACAGACTATAGTTAATGGAAAATATGCAACTTGAAAAAAAATCAGAGATATCAATTCGAAAATGTGTAAATACCATTTCGAAAAAAGTTGAGAAACAGTCTGGAGCCCGTTTTGATATGATTTTGATATGAAAATGATGAACTGTAACAATTATATTATTTTGTCGTTGAATCTGCTCCTAAATTATGAAAATAGTAAAATTACAGTTAGTAAAGCGTTATCAACTCAGAACATTCATTTTCTGACCGAAAAAAAGCAGTTGAGAAATCAGAACCCATTTATGTTGTATGTTACAATACCATGGTATTTTATTAATATTTCAAATACTCTCGAAAATATTTATACATGACAATACGCAGTTTGAAAAAAAATTTTGAGGAACGAATTTAGTGGAATCAACGGAGTTCACATTTTGTTAAAAATATTGACTTTTGTGAAACTTTTGATAATATGATATTTGGCTAAAAATAGTTCGAATGTATTTTCGGGTGAAGGATAGTATAAATAAGTGTCATAACTATGATATAATGATATAATGGAGCTGTTACGAACATCGATTCACGGTTGTTATAAAAATCGATTCACAGTATTTGTGTGAATGTATACATGAGAGTTTTATAGTTTTAGGAAATATTTTATTATAGAAATGAGAAGCAAGTGATTCACATGTTCATGACCTTTTTATTAGTCAGTCTACATTCAGAAATTGAACCTAAATTCAGAAAAGTAATGTTTTGAGCTTGTAATCAGTAATTATTCATCTATTATTCACTAAATATTCACCCATATCTGAGGTGTTACCTCATCTTTTTACCATTCTTTAAAAACTGAAGGGTCATTCATTAGGCGCTTTCTATCTTCAAATTTAAATAAAATAAAGTGATATAGTAGTGAATATTATTTTAGGAAATATATTTGCTTCTACTCCTCGCTGCTCCTATATCTCAAAAAATAGACGTAAAGTTTTATACAGCATTACACTTTTCACACTTTTCTATGGCATGGAATCAATACTCATTTATCATGAATTAGGATCCCTCGCCGAGTCTATCTGTCTGTCTGAACGCGATAAACCCAAAAACTACTTAACAGATTTTCATTCGGTTTCAATCAATGAAACAAATTATTCGAGAGGAACGTTTATGTTTACGATTTATAATTGTTTTGTGTGAATTGTTTGAAATATGACACCCTTGAACATTTCACAAAACACAAGCACTACAGAAAAATCCTTGAAGCAAAGTAAAGTAAAGTAAAGTAAACTTTATTGACTACACTGTAAATAATTTACAAGAGTAGCAGGTCAGTAACAGTACACATATAAATGTGAAAATGAAAAAATTAAAAAAAAATAAATATATAAAAAGAAGGTGAATGTATAGCAATGGACTAGTGAATTGTGGAGTTCATGTATTCTTCTATTGAATAGAAGCAATGTTCAGTCAATGTTTTTTTTAATTTTTTTCCTAAAAAGATACATGCTGAGCTTTGTTAGGCCTTCATTAAGTTTATTGTAAAAATTCAAGTTGGGAGATTTGAAAGAAGACATTTTCAGTCTGAACCTGTTTGGCCTCACCTGACTATTATTTCGGGTGGGATCGTTGTGGAAGTCTGAGTTCAACTTTGGTTTTCCCCTATTTCTGTGCAATTCAATAAGGGTTTGATGCATATTGATGCAAGGAAGTGGCATTATTCGATTTTTGATGAAAAGTAGCCTACAAAGTTGGTCGTAGCACGTACCTTCAATTATTCTCAATGCCTTTTTTTGCAACTTGAATACTCTTGTTGCCTGACGAGAATTCTCCCATAAAATGGTACTATAGCTTGTATGCGAATGGAAGAGGGAGTGGTATGTTGTCAATAGCACATCTTTGTTCACAATATTTTTCAGTTTACTCAGCAGAAATAGATGGCTAGGCAGTTTATTGCATAGATGGTTTATGTGACTATTCCAATTTAATTCATCATCGAGAGTTATCCCCAGAAGTTTAACAGTGGATCCATTCGAAATGTTTTTATTACAGGAGAATATGATGTGCTGGGTCTCATCATTACTGTCTAGAGGCAGTAGTCGCCATACGTTCATTGAGTACAAGTCGACTATAATGCGAATTTATTAATGAAGTGTCGTCAGCAAATGCAATACACATATCCGGAAACAAGTATTGAAATATATCATTGACATAAATGGTAAACAACAATGGCCCAAGTACGGATCCCTGTGGCACGCCATGATCAGTACGAGCCAGTAGCGAAGTAGTTCCGTTGACAGATACCACTTGTTGACGTTTGGTTGAATAAGACTTTACGAGATTCAGTGGGGTTCCTCTTACCCCATAGTGCTCGAGCAGCAGCTCATGTGAGACACAGTCAAACACCTTAGATAAGTCACAGAGTGTGAGACCTGTTAACTTCCCAGTCTCAAGGCCCTCAACTATTCCTCCCACGACTCCGTTTACCGCCTGTGCCTGTGCGAAAGTGCTGATTCACATTGGGTTTGAATCGCTGGAGATTGATTCCAGTTGGAAAAACGTTCTCAGGAAGTCTATTCCACATAAACGCAATTCTTCAAATGGAAGACTCCCGAAAGATGTACTGAGTTAAACCTCAAAACGATGAGCTCCCACATTCCGTCGCGTATTTTTGATATGTGCCGCACTTGTTGGAATCAAATGTGCAATCAAATGAGTCATGTATGGAGGCGGAGCTCCATGCATGACAAGAATACTGCAAAGAAGGTCTGATCTGAGCTTTATATATCAGTTTTCTGGTTCGGAACAGTATTCCAAGCTTTTGAGAAGTGGCTTTTGCAATTTCAGCGACATAATTGTGCCAAGACATATTGGTATCCATGTTAACCTCTAACAAACTTATCGAAGCAGAAAGTGGAATTGTCTGACCTGACATTATTATATCCGTTTCGAAGACATTTATCTTTTTAGAGAAAACCGTTGCCTGGGTTTTTGTGGCATTGAATTGAACCTGGTTACTTTTACCCCAATTCGAAATTACTTCTAGATTCTCACTAAGATATGCAACCCTCTGCTACCAGTGAAGATATTCATCTGCCGTCGATGTCCTGGAACCCATATGGAATGACGAAACTAGTGTGTTGTCGTCAGCAAAGGAATATCACGCGCAACAGCTCGTGACTCTCCATGTTTCTGGATTCCAAATATGGGTGATATACGATAAAAGGTCGCCTGTTGATCATTATTTCCTAAAACCATATTGATTATCGCTGAAGGTATTGAAACCTTCCAAATAATAACGGCTTTCTCCATGATTTTTGATATCATTGATAGCAAAGTGACTGGTCTATTCTTATTTGGAAGATTTTTTCTTCCCTTTTTGGGAATAGGTTGAATGAGTACAATCTTCCAAAAAAGAAGGAAAAACACCTTTCTTGTGAGACATGTTGAAAAGTCTGCAAAAAACTGGTGCGAGTTCATTTTTTATTACGATGACGGGCACTTCATCAGGATCAGACGCCTTGTTGATATTGAGCTGTTTCAAAATTCTCCTGACTAGACGTCGAACAGTCACTTCCGGTATTGTGGATTCTAGTGTGGGAATAGTGGGTGATGCCTTTCCCAGAAAATCGACTGTGGAGTGGGACGCAAATTATTCAACTAGTAGATCATCGAATAGAACTGGCCGATACTTGATGAAAATCCATATTAAAAAACTAATCAATACAGTTTATTGTATGATTTTCACTATAAGAATCATAGTGAAAATCATACAGGCTAGTGGACANGCGAAACACGTGTCGCGGTTTTTGTAAAACCCTTATAGTGAAAATCATACAATGAACTGTATTGATTAGTTTTCTTCTTTAATATATTATTTTTTTCTATGGCTGTTGTTTCAATTGAACCACCCGCTTGTGTTAGTGGTGGAATTGTTAATTTTGTAAAGCTTTGATTAGCAGCTTTAGCTACCGACCAGAAGGATTTAGATCCATTGGGATTGGCAAGCAGTTCATTCCTAATTCTCTGATTGTGAAGGTCTCTGCTTTTAATTATCCTAAATTAGCAGCTGTTGCAGCATCAACAAACCTTGTTCGGTTTTCGGCGCTTGGATTTTTGCGCCACTACCGGTAGGTGAGAGTTTTGAAGGCGACAGCTTGCTAGCAATCTTTGTTGAACCAAAGTTTGCCGTTAGATGTTCGTTTCATTGAAAAAGGAGTATATGCAGCCATGGATAATAGAATAACGTCCGTAACTTCAGAAGCACAAATAGATGGATATTTACAGCTGAAACAAACATCTAGCCATGGGAAATTTTGGAATTGGTCTTGAAGATCCTCCTACTCAGCAAATCTGTAATGCCAAACTTTGCGCGGCTGGGATGTTACGGAATTTGTTTGATTTTTCCAGATTATTTCTGAAAATTTCACCACATCCAGAATGTTCTGTGATGTTTTGGAATGCTTTCAAATACTCTCGAATGTTCTAGTCTCCTGTAGAACTTTCTAGATGGCTAAATTTCTAGCCTTTAAATCTTCAGAAGTATGCCCTTTATGTATAAACGAAAATCTCTTCATGAACAAGCTAACGTGACCCTCTGACAAACAAAAAAATACAAAATTCAAGCATATACGTTCTGCTAGCCTTTAGATGCCGGTCGTATCTCTAGTTCAAATATAAAAACTAATTTCGTTTTTTGTGCAGGGGAGTGACATGCTCCACCTATTAGAATTTTTTAACATGTTTTAACCGCAGTTTGTTCTGATATAGTGCCTATTGTTTGTTTCTTGACGTACCCCTTGGAATGTTACTTAAAACAAATTTATTTATAGATGTAATACATTGATTACATTCTATTTTTTCCCTGAACAGTTCATCGGCCATAAGAGTATATGTGTGTAGTGCTAAAAAACTCCGTAACGTCAATTTAAGAAAAATAATTGTTGATTTATTGAAGTATAACTTATTTACACGCTCTTCAAATAAAACTTTTTTACGTGCACTTAATTTTGGGAGTAAGCTGGTGAATACGTAACGGGAGCGTTACAAAAAGTGTGATCGGGAGACGCGAACGGGATGAGTTAGTGAAGATGTAAAGAGAGATAGTTTCGTATATTACTGTAGAGGCAAGAGAGAGAGGTGCTGACACACGTTTACGGTCGAGTACGCTCTAAAAAATTAGGAAATAACTATCATACGTTGTCACAAATTCTAGCAGGAGATTTCAATGTTAATTTCGCTTCCGAAGATGGACAACTCTTGGTGAACTTCCTACAAGACAAATTATTATCACAAGTGAATGTAGATGAGCCTACCACAAGACATGGAACAACAATCGATGCAGTTTTCTCTAGATGTATTTCTAATTTCCATTCGAAAACATGTGTCTTATTTCTCATACCATAAGCCCATTGTCTCGGTCTTGAAATTAACCACAGTGATTACTGATGTATTTCATAATGAAAGTAATGTAAATTTATCAATGTAAACCCACAATAAATTCAAATATTTGTGGAACATTAATATATGTATATACATGTGTATTTTATACATATATAAAACATATACAGAATGTAGGGACTAACGGGACTTTCAGTTCGACACGTTCAAAAAACACACTATTTCAAACAGAGCTTCCGTCTCTGAATGAAGACTTGAAAATTGGATATTAATGAAAACAATTTACTATGATTTTAATAATGTCTGAATTTTCCGATATTTGAAATTATGTGATTACGTGGGGTATATAAAAATTAGAACGCCACTTTCTCTCAATGGTGAGGTCATCCCATTTGGAACGGAGGTGAAACATCTTGTCATTATCCTTGATAAAAGACTCACCTGTAACCCTCACTTGGAAAAAGTTTCACACAAAGCCAGACTCTCTCTATGGACATGTCGAAAGATTTGTGGTAAAACTTGGGGTTTAGGTCCCAAACAAACACACTGGATTTATGTGAAGATTGTCAGACCAATGATCACTTATGGTGCGATTGCCTGGTGGCCGAAGGCTTTACAGAACACGGCCCAGGCGAAGCTCTGGCTTACAGAAACAAACTTGTCTGTGGTACCGTCAGTACCACACCATCAGCGGCCATGGAGATCCTTCTAGATCTACCTCCTCTCCACACTTTTATGGAGAGAGAGGCTAGATAAACTGCATACAGACTTGTGCACATTCCCAGTTGGACAAATCAATTTAATGCAGAGTGCAACAGACTGTTGGTTGACACTGGCAGTCTCAGCATTCTGGAAACGACCTCTGACTTTATACCTCCATCTGTCAACTACGAACTGCCTTATAAAGTACTGTTCCCGAATAGAGAGGACTGGATCCCCGGAGAGAAAAATTTTAAGAGCAGATAATTGTTGGTTCACAGATGGATCAAAACACTTTCCGGTTCTGGTGCAGGTGTTTTTAGTCGCAGACCCAGGACCGAGATATCTACCTACCTAAGAACCGACCCTGTATTTCACGGGGAAATTTACTCTATTGAAGAATCCAACCTCATACACAAGTCAATGAAAATATTCTTGGACAGTCATGCGGCGTCGGAAGCTCTTGGCTCCTATCGAGCAACGTCTAAATTGGTAGCAAATTGCCAGAAACGACTAATCTCGATAGGAAGATTCAACAGATTGTGTCTGGTCTGGATTCCTGGCCACACAGGCCTGGAAGGCAATGAGGCTGCTGACTCCTTTGCAAAGGAAGGTGCTGCAAGCAGCTTCATCGGTCAAGAACCTGTCATTGGCATCACTTCAGGCTTTGCCAAACAAACATTGAACACCTGGATGGCAAGAAGATTTATGGACTTCTGGGAGAATCTTCCAGGATTGGCTACTCCAAGGCGTTTATTCACTCTTCGAAGCTTGATACCAAACAGTTGTTGGACTACACCAGGGATGAACTACGATGTCTTACAGGTCACTGTCATTTGAATCATCATTTGCAGAGACTCAGACTGTCGGAAGACAGTGTGTGTCGCCTCTGTTCGGAAAATGATGAAACAGCAGAGCATATACTTTGTGCCTGCTCCGCTGGGGACCGAATCAGGTTTTTAGAGTTCGGCAGAGCTGTACTCTTACCATCTGACCTGAAAGACCACTCACCATACAAACTGATCGGCTTCGTTATGAAGCTGGGTTTATTTGGTCGAGTGTGAATAGGTGTGAGCCACAATAAATCCTTGCGAGTTGCGGTGGAGGGTCGAATAGACCCACTCACTTTAGACCTAACCTAACCTATGTTATTCACTTTTGGAAAAGCTACTGTGATGTCGTGATATTTTTGAAAATAAAGTTTGTGAACATCAAATCGTTAGGGGTGTAGTTTGAGTTAGTTTTAACTCAGTTGATTCCACTCTTCTTTGTTATCGCAGAAGATATTTTTGAAGAAATATTTCAGTAAGAAATCTGTTTGGAATGTATTGAGAAACCACTAAATTTCATCAAAAAAATTTCGTATCTGCAATTCGCTTGGGAAATGTCATGAATAAAGTTGTTCAATACTTACGTTTCAACTTGATTTTTCAGAATATAATCCACTACCGCACACCAAAAAATTTCAGTAATTTCCTGTCACTTCACAAGACATGTGCTCGTTCTCACCCCCGCACTATACAAAACTTTTCGCGGTAGTGGACGCGTCGCGACGACCGGCCAGTAGCGTCGTGGCGACGTTTATTTCGACACTACTCTCCAAAGAGAAGAGCCAACACCATGTGGCGATATACACGATTATCTCCGTTTCGCGGAGAGTTATAAATACTAAACATTCGGATCGACGAACAAAAATATTTTTGGAACACCGTTCATTGTAACTGAATTTGTATTAATTTTCGATCATTATTCTGGAAAATCTGCGTTGGATTTACCTGGAATTATGATGGGTCATTTACACAAGGATGATATGTTTCAATGTTTTTATGCATTTTCACTTATCAACTACAGCATCACAATTTTCCATAATATTGCATTCGTAGACGCATTCTTCTCCGGTTTATCATTACGAAGTCTATTGAAAAAAATTAGGTAAATTTCAGTTTTCCCTGAAAAATATTTATTTACTCAATTGCAATTTTGTCCCTTTCAAAGTAGACCTCTAAGATATAATACACTTGGCCAGCGTTTTTAGCAATTCTCTGTTCTGATATGCATTTTTTGGTATGTCCTTGAGCTCTCGCAGAGATTCGGTTTCAATCTTCTCGAGAGTCGTGTAGTACAAAAAAAAAACGATTTATTTCCAACAGGAATAGCCAGTTACAGGAAATGCTGTTATTACAGAGTATATATGAAATAAATATTAAAAGTAATGGAATATAGAAATGTATAAAAGTAAATGTTAAAACAAAGTATATATAAAATATTCGTATACGTAGAATTTCAAAAGAACACTGAAAAATTGAGTATATAACACAAAAAGTTACAAATCATACAATATAGCAGTACTGACACAAATTTCATTTATGGTATTATCAAAAGTGGTTGTGGATACATGATAGCAAGGCGTTCAGAGAGTCGAAATGAATATCGCAATGTTCACAGATTTTATTGAAGCTACTGCACATGAAAGTCAATGGTGACCGTAGCATAACATTTGTGCGTGATGCTTCGCAACAGAATTTCAGATTGTGTCGACCTTTACTTCTTGGTACTAAGAAATTGATCTCCGATAAAAGAACCGTACTGTCAATATTGTCGTTCAGTAATTTATGCAGGAATTTTACACCAAGGATAACTCTCATATTTTCCAAAGATGTCATATCATATCGTGTCAACAAAATGTTATGATCGATGCCTCTCGTGGGGTATTGTCCAATAAGCATTTTAGGAACTTCCTTTGCAAGCTGTCAATTGATATTTTTTGGTAGTCGTAAACTGGATTCCATAACACAGAGCTATTCTCTAACTTAGATCTGGCATAAGCAAAATTTAGCAATTTCAAGGTGGCAATACAAGATTTTGCTATTTCTGTAAATGAATCCAAGCATCCTATTTGCGTCAGCAGTCATATTCTTTATATGTGTTGTGAATGTTAATTTACTGTCGTATGTTATACCAAGATCTTTTATCTCATGTACGCGGTTGATTGTAGCAATTTTGATTGAATAATCGTACATTAAAGTTCGCTTTTTTGTTGTAAATGATATTATTTTACATTTGGATACATTCAGTTGTAGACGATTATTATTACACCAATGTTTGATAACATCTAATTCATGTTGTACACGTTGGCAGTTCGTAATGTCGTCGATTTTATAATATAGCTTCAGGTCGTCTGCAAATAGTAGGCTAGGAATATTCAAAGAGGTTGCCAAGTCATTAATAAAAATTAAAAATGAAAGAGGTCCAAGATTAGAACCATGTGGTATCCCAGATGTAACTACGTACTGGGCCGATTTGAAAGATTCATATTCGACGAATTGTTTTCTGTTAACTAGATATGATNATAACACCTGATATGCTACAGAATGTTAGGAATAGATTTGAACAAAATCTGTATTATTGTATGGAAGCAAATGGGTCACATTTTTAGCACTTGCTGAAGTAGGATTCTACTAAGTCAATTACACATTTCAAAGTACTGGGTTGTAGTTGTTTTTCTTCATAATACCTACATGTTTGAGTGAAATACAACAAGTTAGGTATCATTGGAAAGATAATTTTGTGCCCTTTCAAATGATATATCACTCGATCCCACTTTTTATTTAAAATTTTAGGGTTGTTACTCACCCTCGCTAGGGGGTTGAAGGCACAGGTAGAAAAATACATCTAAAATGTGTCCCTCTCAAAAGCAAAATTGACCTGTCCAAGCATTTTTGCGTTAAGTTACAAAAAAAGGAGAATAGCATACTTTTCTTTGGACCACTCTGTATACCACATACTGTGGTCATATTTCTCCACAAATAACTAAGTCGAGTGAAATTACCATATCGTAATGTTTGGATTTTTTTACAAGGGAAGACACTCCTGACGGACAAACATGTGAAAAATTTGTTTCAGTAGAAAGATTCAATGCTATTGGCTTTCCATTAGAAGTTGGTGAGTAGAATCTGAAATCTTCGGCGTGAAATGAATCCACACCAGAACAAAAATACGGTCTCTCGACGCGCGTTTCGATAACCAAGTTAGCATCATTAGAAGATGACTAAAACTTAGTGAAACCAAAACTGTAGCTCTGAAGATATCACCGAAAGTACGAAATTGTTAAGCTATCTCTTTGAAAAACTTGGAACGAGTTCCTTACACTAGCAGTATATAATGGATACTTGTCATCGGAAATCAGTACGTTTAATATAAACACCCATCAATATATCGAGAATGTTGAATATTAATCTGATAATAGATTACGTTAGTGAGCTTTAAATCATGTGATGATTATATTTGCTTCATAGTTAGGTGCTATATTTTAAAACTCTCCGAAAATATCTTGCAAGATCTTTTCAGCTCAACACTTAATTTGTGGCGATTTATTCAGCCTGTCAAAGTCTGGAACATTTAGAATTCGTGAACAATGTCAGGGGTCTGCTACAGATATTTAGGGAATGTTCCTCTTTAACATCTGGTTGGGCTACTAGAAAGCTTGGTAAAAAAGGTTTTAATGTTTATAATAGTAGATACAGTAACCTATAAAAGCGGATTTCCACTAAACGGGCAGAGCCGCAACAAAACAGCAAATGTATCGATTTCGACAAAACAAAAACTTGAGTTGTCAAAATGAGAAACATTTTGAAGATTTTGTGATGCGGGCGACTGTTTTCGTCCACAACGAAATGTTCCGTCGGAAGGTGGAAACATAAAAAAATGTCGGTGTTTTGTCTGTGTTTTTGTCTGATTCCTCAACAAAAAATGATTTTTGTTCAATATTCGAAAGAAGATGTTTCAGATGTTTCTTTTTTCTCGATTTGTGGGTTTGTGAAAAATGTTTGTCCACTCCAAAACAACCAGTTCTCCCAAACACCAGTAACGCAAAACTCTTCTCTTCGACATTTTCAAGTTGGTGGTTTTTATTAACTGTCATTGTATTGGATTAGATTTGTATATATCTGAAATCGTTGCAAGTTGAAGACCAATGTTTTCAATCGAATCCATTCAGATATCACAGCTAGATATGAAAATTCTCCCGTATACTCAATCATAATTTACATTGTGAACTGTTGCTGTGTTAACTTTTTTAATTACATTGCGAACTTCCCGTGTAAAATCTAAACGAGAAAAATGTTTTTCTTGTCTTCTTTCTCAATTGGAAGTTCACTACTCTCTATATATTGATATAAAAGTTAAAGAAGTTTTTAAAAAAATACACACACACATTAAAATTTTAGTTGTCGAAAATCATTAAAATTGGGACACAAAAATCATTTTGAGAACATTTGTCTCACAATAGAACGAAAAACAATCACTCGACGCTCGTCTCGTCAACCATGTTAGCATCATCAGGAGATAACTAAAACTGGCATGATAATGACTAAAACGGTCATGATGGTGACCAAATCTGATGATGCTATCTTGGTTAGCGAAACGCGCTTCGAGAGAAATTATTTTCGTTCTGGTGTGTAGAAAATTATTCATTTTACGCCAGAAGTTCTAATTCTACTTTTGATTCTAAAATAGTACTGTTTCCAAACACCAGATCAGCAGTATTCATCTTTATGCGTGTCTTTATCTCCTAAAGACGCCGACATGGTTGGTAAAAAGCGCATCGAGAAGAGTGTTGCAGTTTTGCAATTTGAGAACAGTGCTTGTTTTAGATTCATTCTATGCCAGGAGTTCTAGTTCTACCATCAATATATCGAACAAGTCTAAAATTATTGTTATCATTAACCATTATCTGTGAATGTTCTGTATGATGTTCTTACAAGACGCGAAAATTCCTCCATTTTCCAAGTTTCCAGTTAATAGATTGTCTATATTTTTATCACGAGAAGAACCATGATGAAAAGATGTTTTTCTTTGTCGTCATACCTCCTTTGGTATATCACAAAAAAATCAGAAAAACTTATGTACCAGAATTTTCTTACCTGTATAATAAGAAACATTTCCACCCACTGATAGTACTTGATCTGTTTTATGGGGTGCTCCCCTGTTGTCTGAATGTTGGGTATCAGGGAATATTCAGATGTTTGTTTCTCATACGAACCATTTTTCACTGTGAATGTTGAATGTATCCAGCAATATGTATTCAGCACATCTTCAGGAATGTCCCTGGAAAAAATGTGTTCCTGAAAATTTTGAAATGACCATGGTCGGTTATAACGAACCTAATTGGAAATTATGGACGGATTCTATGAAGGAAATTATACATCGATAACACAAGCGTTTCAAATGTTTACCCGTCTTCGAAGCTTAGCCCTTCAAATGATCAATAGTATTTAACTATCAGATCTACTCGATGATTTAATATGGCTTGCGAAGAGGCAAGCCGGGCAATACCTTTTGGTTTCGGTTCCAATTTTTTATCGTCTCGTTACTTGGCATCAGGCAGTTTTGGAAAAATTAAAAGTTTGCCAATTTCAATGATTTTTTGCCAATTTATTTGACCTTATACCCGACTTCCGAGCTAAAAAATCTTTCAATTCCATTTTACTCGAAGAAAAATAAAATATTGCTTTTTTTTAAACACGCTGTTGAGTCATTTGTCACGGTAATAATAATCTCAATTGTTATCGGTTCTTTTCTTAAAATTTTATAATGATCAACACATATATAATACTGTTGTTTCCAAAAACAAAATTACGGTTGGTTTTCAATTGCTTGGCCGGGGATTCATGAACTCCTGTTGCCATTATTGCACTACCATTCAAGATGGTAGAGATCAAACTTATATCGCTGATAGATTAAGGTGTTCATGAAGTACCTTGTAGCGTGTTTACACTCATTTTTCACATGCAAAAGATATCCAGAAGAAGCGTCGGAGGACTTCCTATCGAGACAACCGTTTTATTGATAATTTGACTATTAATGGGATTTCCCAATAAAGTTGTGTTGGATACAATCGTACATAGAAAATGGTAGTTTGGTGGTCAGATGTAATGAAATTAGATCATATCCTTATCATGCGCACCTAGGTGTTCCACAAGAATCTGTTCTGAGTTCATTGTTATTTTCGATTTTCATTCTAAAAACCTGATTCGGTGCTTAGTGGAGCAGGCACAAACTGTGTGCTTTGTTGTTTCACCATTTTCCTAAGAGAGGCGACACATACTGTCTTTCGACAGTCCAAGTCTCTGCATATGATGCAGAGACTCGGACATGTTAGACATCGTAGTTTATTTCTACTATGGTCCAACAACTGTTTGGTATCAATCTTCGAAGGGTGAATAATCGCCTTGGAGTGAGCCAATCTTGGAAATGCTGCCAGAAGTTCCTAAATCTTCTTGCCATCCAGGTGTTCAATGTTTTTTTGGCAAAGCCTAAAGCCATGCCAATGACATTCTGATCCGATGAAGCTGTTTGCAGCACCCTCCTTTGCAATGAAGTCCAGTATGGTCTGTATGGCTAGGAATCCAGACTAGAGATAATCTTTTAAGTTTTCCTATCGAGTAGAGTCGTTTCTGGCAATTTCCTACCAATTCAGATGTTACTCGGTGGGAGCCAAGAGCTTGCAATGCCGCTTGACTGTGTATGAGGTTGGATTCTTCCCCAATCTCTCCACACACAATTCAATAGCGTGAATTTCCGCTTGAAATACAGTCGCATAGGTTTTTAGGCAGGTTGACATCTTTGTCCTGGGTCTGCTACTGAAAACACCTGCACCAGAACCTGAAGGTGCTTTTGATCCATCTGTGAATCAACAACTATCTGCTCTTAATATTTCCTTCTTCCGGATGATCCAGTCCTCTCTACTCGGGAACAGTACTTTATGAGGCAATTCTTAGTTGACAGTTGAAGGCATTAAGAGGTCATTTCTAGAATGCTGTGACTTCCAGTATCAGTAAATTGATTTGTGCATTTGGCAATCTGCACAAGTCTATATGCAGTCCATCTAGCCCCTCCCTCCAGAGAAATATGGAGAGGAGGTAGATCTAGAAGCATCTTCATGGCAGCTGATGGTGTGGAACTGATGGCACCACTGATGGCCAGACAAGCCTGTCTCTGTAAGTCAGAGAGATTCGCCTGAGCGGTTTTTTGTAAAGCTTCCGGCCACCAGACAATTACTCCATAAGTGATCATTGGTCTGACAATCCTCACATATTCGCTGGAGATAACATCCATTGGGATAAATGTTCTGAGGAAGTTTATTTCACATAGAGGCAGTTCTCCATATGAAAAATTTCCTAATCATCCTACAGGATGGTCATTTTTCTAAGGTATGTGCGAGCACCATTCTCACAGCATCCTGATCCTCAACTTTCAGAATATAGCTCCCTGCATTGAGACCCTAGCTCCAAAAATCTACGGCAGAGGCCAGCAGCTCTCTCCTCCAGCGTCCATCCCTAACTGGGGAGTCGCCGAAGAATAGGTTAGGCGGAAGAGTTTAAAAATATTGAAGGAACAGGAACGGCGGCATGCTAAAAATACCCTGAATACTGAGATCTCTGGGCGGGATGCTGAGACTCTAACTGCTGAGACTCTAACTGCTGAGAGCACCATATGGAGCGCTCCACATCCAGCACCATCGTTTCGTTGTACAAAAATTACCAGAATGGGTCTTAGATTTTCTTATGGATATCAACAAGTTCGACCATCATATCCCTTCTAGTTTTTCAACACTCTCCAGAATATTTATGGAAGGTGTAGGTACATTATTCATACCTACGGAAATATATATTATTTTTTTCAAATTTTCAATTCACGTATGAACTTATTGTAAATTGATCTTCACTCTTTGTTTCCTTTGCTATTGTATAGTATGAAGAATAACTCTATTTTAAATGTTTCTGCCTTGTCGTACAACCTCCTGAAGTTTAAGAAAAAATCCGTCTCTACTGCACTCTTCAACAAGCAACGATGGTCATGTGATACAATGAAAAATTGTTTATGTAAACTCGGCAACTGGAAGAACAGTTTAGCAGTTATTTGCATAGCTGCGAAAATTGAACTTTGCCATTTACTATAACTTTATATATGTAGTAAGAACTTAATATTGTAATTTTTTGTGGTTGTAGCAATAAAGACGTTTATTATTAATATTATTAACTAATCAGCAGTTTTACTCATTATACTTATAACTGAAAAATCAACCAGAACACTTTAGGTTTCTGAATAATTGATTTTTGATGTAAATGATATGTTTTTCTCTAATAGATCTGAGTTGTTTTATATCGCACCGACTTCTCTGTGAAATAAAACTATTTGAAGTTCAATGGGTGATTTTAAGTTCAATCATCTTGAAATTTAGCCAAGTTTCAATTTAGGTGGCTGTAATAAATTGTAAAATCTGCAATTATTTTAAATATATACTAACATTCAAGTTAATGTCTTCCACTCCACTTCTCTCAGTCGTGAATCATAAAACTGTTCGTGATACAGAGTGAAATATAAATCTGGTTCTCTCAGATAATTTTAACGAAATTTAGCTGAGATAATAACCGGATATGATTTCACGAAAGACCTTACAATATCCAAAATAAATTCGTGGTTGTTATTGAATATTTCTTCATTCTTTAGGGTTGCAACAATATATTTCCAAATGTTTTCAGTCTATTCGAAATATAAAAAATATCTTGGATATTCTATCATCTATCTCCGTTACTGGATTATAGAAATATTTATCAGTTCAAAAAACGTTTATAACATTCTTACATACACGTTTTAGATGTGCCTGAAGCTAGCTTTTTATTGAGGGTTACAATGTGATCAGCGATTTTATATTTATTGTGAATTATCACCCCTAAAATTGTAGAACTGGATCTGTTCTCAATCATTTGCCTGCGTCCTTTGTGGTTAAAGATATGCAGAATTATAATAACAATCTATTGAAAACACTTTCCCAACACCAGAACAAAATACGGTCTCTAGACGCGCGTTTCGCTAACCAATTAGTGTCCTCACGAGATCATTATGACAAAATTTTATTATGTTAGTGTTTCGAAAGCTTGTAAATCGAACAATGTGGAATGAGTTCTATGAATAGCGACAAAGGTCCTATCTCTCTTTGTTTGGAGGTATTTGAAGATAGGTAGTTTGGTATACGAACAATAGTAGATAGTAGTTAGAATAGAATAGAATAGAATTTATTCGTGCAATGCATACATAAAAAGTATTCGCATACGTCAATGGGATACATAGTATATAAATGTATAAAAATGTAACACAATACAGTCAAAGAAATACATAAATATTGATGTATGAAAATATATCTATTATTAGACGCGCAACAAATTTGTTGATGAGTCGAAATAACTAAAATATTCTTCGAATGTGTAAAAGGCATTCTGTAAAAGAATATTCTTAATTCTCACTTTAAAAGTGTTCATACTCATGTCCAAAGTCTAAAACTCACATGGTAACACGTTAAAAAAGTTCAAATACATATATAAATAAGAGTTTCACACAACCTATATTTGGGCAGCCTTACATTTGTTTTGGTCCTGGTATCATGGTAGTGTATGTCCTCCTGCTTTGTCAATTTATTTTCACCTATTAAATTTTCAACATAACACAGATATTCATGTATGAAGCAAGATCGCAGAGTTAATATACGGAAATTTTTAAAAAGAGGTTTACAATGATCGTCATATTTAGCCTGTGCCATAATTCTTACTGCTTTTTTTTGTAGTTCAAATATTACATCTAGATGACATGATGAACCCCAAACTATTAGTCTATATGTCATTATGCTGTGGGTACTACTAACCGTAGTTAGTAGTAGTTCGGCACTACTAACTGATAGTAGCACATAAACTGGTTTAAGTTCGACGATAGTCGTGTCACGAAGTGTTCTGGCGATGCATTGAATTTATTGGAGCCTCTGGAGACACCCTACATTTTGTTTTATGAGAGAGAGGACATTGTTAGATCAAGATCTTCAGATGATGTGGTGCTGCAGGTTTTTCCGGGTTTTCCTGCAGCTGAAAAAGAACTGGACTATTCCTTCGCGAGATGACTATTCATAGGTAATTCGAGCTCTTTCACCTATTCCCTTTTTCTTGTCTCCGCTCCGCCGGTTTAGCGGGAGTTGACCGTTATTCCGCTCGACTACAGGTTTCTATTTGTTGCGTATCTCTACGCTAGCTTGGCTGAAGGATCGTTGCACAACATAT